AACCTAGAAGAATGATAATTAAATGAAGTATATCTTGGTAAATTTAAATTACACAAATTTTTACTAAATGAAGTAGAAATTAAGTTGAAAGTAAAAAAACAAAGTTCCGACATCGCGGCGGTGATGCGTTTGTGATGCACTAGAATCCTAAGCCTTTGGAAAGATCATCATATAGTATTCACAGCTTCGAAGGCTCTTTTTGAATAAGGATGATGTGGACAATTTTTAGATCTCCTTTTGAAGTCTAGAGATCAATGAAATGGGTCACTGAATTGTCTCCAGTGGCTGTCACTTGGTGGAGTAGAAAAATGATGACTTTGCAACTCTCTAGTAGTTGTCACTCGACAAAGAGGAGCTAAATGGAGGTGAGACGTATGTCAGGGAGCTTCATCCTCAGGTTTGCACACTAAAAAGAGTCTTTTCATCACATTTGATGTGCTCTCAAAAGGTGGCGACTCGCCTCTTGGCAGATCATTTTCTTCCCGATGACGGCTTGTTCATCGATCAATCGGAGATGATTTACTTAATAGATTTGTGATCTTTTTATCGCGAATCATTCAACAACTTTAGTAACAATGTTTTGTGAATTGCATTGATGAAATTTTTGCCGATGATCTAGCGATTTTAGCGGCTTAATCTTTCACTAGCAATCTATAGGAAGTCACAATAATTAGATAAAAATACGAGTTTTGGCTCTAGGAGGATTCAAACCTACGTCGATTGCTCGCTTGCATGAGAGAGATTGAAATAAGTACTTAAATGCTCTTATAAAATGATGTCATCATGGTATATTTCTATTATAATGAAGGAGTAGTTTAGGTATTTAAATCTTTGAAGCCTTTTCGAGGAAGGTGTGACGTAGGTTGTCTCACATCGCTTGTGCGTTGAAGTTTTAGACGAATATATAATAATATCACATTTGCAAGTAATGAATCCATGACCATTCCTTGCTCTACAGCCGATTGGTCATTGGTGATGTGGAAGGGGAGTGGTACACACATGCCCCCATTGGTCCTAGTTGCTCAAGCCCTTACTCACGGTTCCCCTCGACTGCACTTTCGACTTGCTAGTATGCCTGGTTGACTGATAGGTGCCCCCCATTTTATTATATTTTTATTTTTATTTATTAATTATTTTATTTATCTAAAAAGAAGACTATAAAAATCATATAAATTCGTAAAGAATCATATAATTAGCCAATAATTCACATTAATCAACTAAAAAATATTTTTCACACTTTAACATAAATATAAGTCTATTTATTATGAGTTAAAGCTAAAACTATATTATTTACTAATTATTAACTCATGATAATGAAGACTTATCAGTTCTTCTCTACTCGAAAGGAACCTTTGAGTATGGAATTTTTATTTCATTCTATTGATAATACTAACCTAGAGATCTTTACCAATGCAAATTATGTAGGGTCAATTGTGGACCAAAAATCTATTTTAAAGTATTACTTGTTCCTAAGAGATAACTTGATCAGATAGAGAAGCAAAAAATAATTCATGGTCATGAAGTATAGAATTAGAACTTAGGGCCATGATGCTGTATGCAAAGTGCTGTGGATCAAAGGAGTACTAGATGATTTGAAGATATCTTATGAAATTCTTATCAAACTATTGTGTGATAATAAATCAGTGATAGATATTGCACACAATCTAGTGCATCATGATTGCATGAAGCATGTGGAAGTAGACCAGCACACCTCATGTTCGATCCAAAGACCAATGTGTGGATATATTTACGAAAGGACTTCATGGTCCTATCTTGAGAAGATTAATGAGAAAGCTGGGAATAGAGAATATTAATTCACTAGTTTGATGGGGAGTGTTATAAGATGATTAGTTGTGTACTGATTTATGACAATACCATAGATACCTTTTTATTTCTGTAAGTATCCTTACCGTTACGAAATTGGGTCACTTATGACCAATAGCTGATCCAATAATGGATATGGTGTAGTTAAGGGGGCTTGGAAGCCCTAGATGAATGAATCATTCTTTTCTTTCTTCTTGTTCTATTTCTGACCATTGTCTCTCTGCTTTTGACCTTAGGGAGACAGCTAGGTCAAGAGATCAGGGTGAGATCTCTATCAATTGTCCTTATCAAAAATCTTGTCTTGTCGTAGGATATATTGTCTATGTTAGAGATCTCTTGTCACATGTCTTAATACACAATCTTTGTTAGAGATCTCTTGTCACATGTCTTAATACACAATCTTTGTTAGAGATCATCTATTGCATGACAAGATACACTGTCCTTGTTAGAAATCTTTTGTCTCAATTTAGATTTTATTTTTTTAATTGATTCAATGTATAGTTCAATACACTTCTGCTCTCAAGACTAAAAATTGGTCAACATACATTTTTGTGGGTTGACAAGCTTCTCGTTCTTTAAGTGGGTTGGCACATTAGGTTGACTTTGTCTCTTTTTTAAGTTTTCTTCTAAAACATTTACTTTTTAATTTTATTTGGATAGATTTTTACATAGTTCAAGACTTTTTTTTCTAATATTTTCAAGACATATGTCAAAACTTTGCATGTGTATTAAAACATGTTTTCTAGGATTTTTCATTTTATTTTTGTATGATTTATTATGAATAGTGAAACTCAACAATGTTTTGATGACTATTGGGTTTTGAACTTGATTGATCAATATACATTTTATTTATATTTAGGATGAATATAAAATATCCCTTTACCATTCCTTTAAGTAATAGATTTAGGAATGAAGGTAACATGTCGTTTCATCAATTATTTATTATTCATAAATATTATATTAGTTTGAGCAGGATTCTTTTCATTCAAGAGGATTAGAATCTATCATTTACCACATTGATTCATAGTCTTGAATTATATATTTAAGAACATTGATACATAATTTATTTAACTAGAACAAGAGATGTTATTTCATTAAAAGTTTACTCAAATCTTAGATCAAAACGACAACCACAATTAATGAATCATTACCACTAATTTTGTAGAATTTACAGTTTGAAGCATCATTTTGTAAGAAAATGGTATAAATAGTTTTTGATATAAGGTATTCATATGGTCAACATGGAAAAGTTTCTACTTTGTATTTGAACATAATATGTTAGAACCAAAGGCTACATGTCTTCAAGTTGAAGCTTTTTTGAGGAAGAATGACTTGTACTGAAATATAATGTCCTTTGCAAGTTTCGTAGCCAATGTTACTATTTTAAGTTCTATAGGGACCTAATGATACTTTTTTATAACAACCTTTTGTCTATATTGTAAATAAGACGATTTTGAATTCAAGATTACCCACATAACAAAGATAATCACTATTTAGTTCTTAGAACGTTTTAACATAGAAAAAGACTTAAAGGGTCATAGCGTTAGAAAAGGATTTAGGATTTATACATAATTTAATAATAGTATGTATTAGATCTCAAATTTAATACGTATTTGTAGTTTCTTTGATAGTCTTAAGTGTTTTGATTATGATAAACAGTAATATGGAAATGTTAGAGTTATAAATTTATGTCATCCGTTATGTAAATCATTGCAAATTGAATCAGATATTAAACAATGAGAAATTAAATCAAAGGTAAAATGGTTTATATGGTGAAGAGCTTTGATAGCACTATTGTTCAAGTTAAAATGAACATTATGTTTGTTTTAAAATCAATTTGAACTAAGAAACACATAATTCACACTCAAGAGTTGATAATGGTTCTGTCAATTCGGTCACACTCCACTCTCTAAGGACCTGATACTTAGGTTCCACTAAATTACACGTGAAATATGCTGAATCTCAATTTCAGTAACCTCCACTGAATATACAGGCCTCATTGAGCCTGTGTTAGACTGTATAGTTCCAACCTATACTGAGTATACTTGCGTCACCAAGCCTTAGTGGTGAAGAAGAAGTAACACCCAACCTTTAGGAAGGACAACAACGGCGAATGTTCTTGCCAAGTAATCTCGCAGCTTCCCTAAGTTGAAGACCCTAATACAGGAGATAATCAGTGAAGGCCAGAGCATCAAAGATCTTAGTCTTCAAGCACTTAGTATGTTGATCCAGCTTTGACTTCCCAGGGGAAGAGAATAACGGGTGTGAGAAGCTTTCTTCGTGGAATTCCTAGCCTATTTTTGCTTCGATCCTTTCTCCCTTTCTCCTTAATCTTGAAATGCTTCCTTGGTGGGTTTTTGGTGGAAAGCCCTCTTTTATATAGAGTTTATTGGGCCGAAATGGTAGTCTCAGTCTCAGTGCTAGTTGAGTGGCCCTTAAGGAGTTGCAAGAGTTGTTCACCATTGGCAACAAAAGAAATGGATAGTTTCTTGTTGCTCGAGCCTTCATCTACTCGACTATGCATTGCATCCTTTGTCAACAATGAACAGGAAAAATCACGTTAAATAAGCTACGAGGTGAAATTGACTCCGTTGTTCCTTGGTAGTCTAAATCAAGAACTAGTTCGCCAAGACCTGAATTATGTTATGGCTGACTGAAGCCATTAACTTGCACATAGGTTTGCTGAGGGATGAATATTCAGTAGTTGGTTGCTAAAGTTAAACAATTCAGTATTTAGGTTCATTGAGAGCTGACTATTTAGTGGAGGTCAGATGAAGTTATTGCACTCAATGTGTTGAACATGGTAAAAATGTATAAAATATCAATTCCCTTGTTGATCATGGTGGTACCCACGTAAAGCTCTTCTCTTTTGCATTTCCGCTGCCTGATGAACAATTTGCAAGCTTAGTAATTACATCTGTTTGTATTTGTGTCTGTTATGTAGTAATTGGTCCTATTATCAGACTCTAGCTTATGTTTTTCTTTTTTTATCAATCGAAAACTACATTTAATGTGTTGATAAAAACTCATTTGAATATTCTGATCTTAGATACAAAGCATACAAATGATCGCCCATCATCGAATAGCAAAAAAATATCTTGAAGCCTTCACAGTCCATCGTCACATGTGTTATGGTAGAAGTGATAGAAGAATATGACAAGAATGAATTTGACCATTTAGACGAAGGGTTGAAGCCATTGCTCCCCGTCGATGTAAGAAATGTTGAGGAACGGAGCAGCTTGGGTGCGGTTTAGCGGCAGCGCGTAGGGCACTCTCATCGCCATGTTTGAGCCGGGGCCACTGCACATGTATTCCCCAAAGAAAACGAGCCTGATCAATGGCAGGGAGACAAGATGAAGAAGATCATCGTCAGATTGTTTCATGAAAACCCCATATGCAGGAGAACTGGAGGATTGATTATCTCAAGAACATCTTAATGGGATGGATACTTTCACATCCAGAGATGTGCAAAACTAGAGTCTAAGGTCTTTTGGATCCATTCTAATGATCTCTAGGAAATCTCCTTTATTAATGTCAAAAGAGCCAGTTTATCGTGTTTCAAATTCTTTATTAGTCTATTAATCTGCTAGTTATACTTGACAAGGTGAAGATTGGAAAACTAATCTCGCCGATCACTAATTGTGAAGTTCTCTTCACTAGCAGCAGAATCGTTGCTGGGTTACTTAACTGTTCTCTGCTAGGGTCATTCAAGTCGTTCCAACCCTCAGGGGCAACGATGTCGGAGATGGAGGAGTAGGCGAAGATCACGCGAGCGTACGGCTTCCACGCCCGGCCAAGCCATACCCTCCCTGTTCCACCCACAGAGCAATTCACAAAAGAGAACCCGGTGTTGTCCGACGCCACTGTCCTCCCATGGGCAGTGATGCTGCCATCGATTAGCCGCTCCCCGGCAGGAACCGGAGATGCTATGGAGCTTAGCTGGCAGTTCTGTGGCAGGGTTGGAGGGAGAAGGGATACACCTCAAGATGCTAGTAAATAGATATGCTTCAAATCAAAAACCACCTGGCGATGAGTGAAATATGGTTTTATATTTAAGGTCAGGTTTGGCCTGCATATATATGCATATATCTCTCTGATTGACGCCTATTCTTGGACTAACCTCGTAGAGTGACTTTCCATTGCCGAAGACAAAGTCGATGGATCCCTGGATGAAGCAGTCCCTGAAGTAGTGCCGCCCACTATCATCATGCAGCGTGTCCTGTGCGCCGAAGAATCCGCACCCCCAGAAGGTGGCGCTATCCCCTCTAATTCTGATGGCCGCGGCCTGACCTCCTACGTCGCCGGGCTTCGGGATGGGAGCTACATTCTGGCATTCCATAATCGATCATGCATATATCTAGATTTGAATCTATCTAGGTTCGACCTTGGTTCGTAAAGGTTACCGGTGTATTCTCTTGCTAAGTCTTACCATGAAGCTTATATTTTTGGCGACGAAGTTGGAAGCGAAAATTATGACGGAGGCGCTGAGGAATGTGTTGCCGGAAGAGTTGGCTGTGTCATTCCAGACGATGGCCGTTGTCTCCATTCCCTGCCCCTGGAAGGTGATGTTGGGCTTGGCACTTGGGATCATCACCTTCTCACTGGTTTATGAACGTATAAATGTGTTCATCTATGACGTAATTCTGCGGTAATTATTCATGTTTGTAGAACGATATACCGTACAGATAGATTCCCTTGTCGATCCATATGATTGTTCTCTTCTCCGTGCTCATGTTGACCGAATCCACTGCAGCCTGCACCGAAGTAAAATTGCAACAACCTCGGCGGTCAACGCAGATAGTGGCGGTCCCGTTGGTGTCCGGCGGAGGAAACCCTTGCGGAAAGTCGTCGCAGATGGTCTGGGAAGAGTTCTTGCGGCGGTGGCCGCGGTGGCGATCGAGATGACCGGACCGGAAATCGTCGACGAAGCGCTCCTCCACGGCTGGAGAAGCAATGTAGGCACCGAGACCCATGTCGACAACCCAGTAGGGAAACTCCGAGCGGCGAAGGAGGGCCTGAGCAGAGAGAACAGCCACGACGGCGGAGAAAAGGGTGAGAGGAGCCCCCCAGAGATTCATTGTCGGGGGGAGAACAGCCAAGGATTGTTGCAATGGGAAGGGGTTGGTGGGTTTACGGAGAACTACTCGGACATTTTAAAACAGACACACAAACAGAGACAAAGAGAGGATGAACTACAATGCCTTGCAAACCACCCTTCACCCTCTCAAAATCCTAGAAAGCTGACCTTCCACCGATCTGAAGGTGGGTTTCGCTTGAAGGTGAGAATACCTCACACGACAGAAAGTTGATGTCTCAAGGAAGAAACCGCACACCAGAGAAACCCCACCGAGACCCACACATGAAGCTAGAGAATTGAATAGTCTAGCTCGTTAGTCAACAAGTGACAGGAAAAATATATATTGTTTTATGCGTCTGAGGATCCTGAATGCTGCGTACTGTTATGAGAGTTCATTGTCGGCTCCGGGTGCCGTGTAAATGGGCACATGATGGATCACTTCTTCAGTGATGTAGTAGAAGGGAAGCAAAGCTGGGAATATTAAGTTTCCACCATCAATAGCTGCGCTAGTTCTTCGTGACGGTGTCTATTTACTCTTCCTGAGATTATCCGATGGGCTTCACATATCCAATCAAGTATACTTACGGAAGTCATAACACCGTTGGCTTGATGACTCTGTCGCATGTGTGGTTGTATGTTAAAAGCATCTTCAAATAATGCCTTTAACCTAGGCTTCATTAGCCTCTACGCTGAACAAATCATTAGGTGTACGGAGAAAGAAGATAGGCGCGGAGAAGCGCAGAAACAGTAGCAAGAGGAAGAGAAAGGAAGAAGGAAGAGGAAGATACCCGACTCTCCGCTGCTCCTTGAGGTGGCTCGACAAAATTAGGACCTGTACTCTGGGGAAGATACACAGTATGATGTAATTTTGGACCCCCTTCTACTATATACTATTGTAACCTCGATATTAAGGCTGCATCTCGAGACGAAAAACTCAATTACATTTTGATACAGTGGACAACTGCTATTTACCCCGTTAATATATCCCTGTATGTTGAACGGTACTGAATGATTTTCTCGGGGTGTATGGTGTTGAATGATTTTGAAACCGATTCGGGAGAGTCCATCACAACGTGGAACGAATTCTTCCTCTTGTAGATCCACCCTCTCCTGGCAACCGAATCTGCGGTCTCTTTTCACCTCCTAAAACCGCCGTCTTCCTACCTCTTCCAGCGTCATCCTACTCCCAGTTACACCCTTATCTGACGGACTCTCTCTTGGCTATTATAAGGAGCAAAACCCTTCTTGTTTAATCAATCAGATTAAGACAATGACAACATTCACTGTGACAAATTGACAAGTGGATCAGGATTTCATCACCATATCAGTGGGCTTGCTTGAAGCGATGACGAACAACGATGCAGCCTAATTCTCCACCTCCATGCGTTAACTGTCACAATTGCTGGAACTGACCTGGCAAAGCCTGATAGATACAGATGGGCATCCTGAGGATCTTAACGACAATCTGTTCACAAATCTTCCGTGGTCAGGAGAGGAGAATGCCACCAGATGAAAATGGTATGATTAAGGGAATATATTAAATTGCACCATATGATGGGGGAAGCAACTTTCAACTAGAAAGTTTTCTCATGTTGAAGCCTACAAAAGCTGACTCTCCCCATTTCCACCAGACATTGGCCAAAGGTTCAATTGTTTTTATGGTCTAGTTGTCGACCCCCAAGATGGTGACGCATATGAAGAATCTTGTTCTATCTCTAAATTAAATGACTTGTAAATTTTCATAACATATTGAAAGACATAATTTTGTATGCCTTTAATAAATAATTAATTATTTAAATATCACTTGATTAAATGGCTCAAGAGATAGGTGTTGACATCATACATAGTGAAACTGTCCAAAAATGAGGCTTTGGAAAGTTCTATAAAATGGGTTACAGTCAAGTTTTGATGATTGTAAGTTAAAACTGCATGCATATCCCTATTCACTGTAAATAGAAAAGGATTCTCTCAAACATGATAGATGACAGTTCATATTAGATTCTTTCTATTTTGAATCAATTAATTTCTGATCATTTCAGTGGAGCGGGAATGACGAAGCACATGTTTTGGAGCCTAACATGACGAAGCACATGTTTTCAGTGAATTTTCTGAATTTTGAAAATGATCATAGTGCCTATAAATGAATTACAAGCCATTATTATTGTAACCCCATTTTTTCGTTGATGTTTCCTCGTACTTTGAGAGATTCCTATTTTGGTTCCTCTATTACTAAGGCCTTGCTCTCTCTCTTAGAACACTTTTCTTTTGGTGATTTGCTCTTAGACATTGTCTTATTTTGTCGTCGTATGAACTCTGTTTCATATTGAGATTATCTTTCTATCTTAGAGTCTATTTTCTTCTCGTGATCATTTCCATTGACCTTCAACACATCCACTCTATTGTCGTAACAAGTGGTATTAGAGCTGGTTCAAAGGTCTCATGACATCAACAAAGGTGGAGCTTCATCAACTTTATAGGAAGACAAATTTTATGTGATGGTAAATCAAGATGTGGGCCATTTTGGCCCAACTCAATCTGGAGGATGCTCTCTTTCCCACAATGCCACAATCATGGGATGAGGATAAGAAGAAATGGGTCAACTGCAAGGCTTTAACTCAAATCCAATTACATCTCTCTAATGACATCCTATGCGACATCAAGAAGTAGACTAAGGCTTATCAATTATGACCGAAGCTCAAAGAGTTATGTATGGCTAAAATTGTCACCCAATGAAACTTAGTCAAGTAGTGATTATTTGATCTTTGTATGTCAGAAGGTACTCCATTAGAGTTTCAACTAGCCCTATTAAAAGATATACTCGTAGAGCTAGAGGCTCTAGATGTTAATACCCTTATTGACAAAGACCTATGTTCCCTACTACTTATGTCACTTCTAGCATCTTATTCAAGCTTCTGTGATAATTTATTTTATAGGTTGAAAGAGCTTTCTCTAGATGTTTTATATGAATCACTTTCTATAAAGAAAAGTATGAGTACATTTACAGATTCTTCTTTGTCAACTTAGCAGAAGGTCTTATAATCTATGGTCATGACCCAAAAAAAAGTCAAAATAAAGATCAAGAAGAAGGTCCAAGTCTTGACATTTTGATAAAACCTACAATTACTACAAAAAGAAGGGTCACATCAAATTTAAATACTATAAGTTTCAAAATAAGAACAAGAGGGAACAATCTCACTCAAAGTTTCAACCAACTATTGCTAATGTCACTCAAAGTTTTGATTCTATTGAATTGCTTTCTAAGTGTGAGTCAAAATCTTTTGATGAATGGATTCTTGACAAGGTTTTTGTGACATCATCATCAACTGGAGTCATGTTAATGGGCAACAACTCATCCTACAAAATTGAAGGGATTGGGAATGTTTCCCCCAAAATATTTGATGAGAAAATCCACACTCTAAGCAAAGTTTGACATGTTCTAGAAATTAAAAGAAATCACATTTCACTAAACACGATTGACTCCCAAGGCTACCACTTTATCAATGATGATGGTATCTTGAAGGGGCATCGAAAAACAGCTAACCTATATGTTCTTGAAGGCAGTATGGGAATGGGTGATATTACCATTACAACCTCCTCCTAACCTACACAAGAAAAATCCAGATTATGACACATGCGATTGGGACATATGGGAGAACAAGGTTTGGGTGAGCTAAGTCAATGAAGTCTGATTGATGAACTTAAGTCAAAGACTTTAGAATTATGTGAGCATTACATTTATGGCAAACATGCTCATTTTAGTTTTCCAACAAGTCAACACAAATCAACAAAAATTCTAGACTATGTTCACTCAAATCTATAGGGGCCAACAACTATTCCATCCTAGGGGGGTGCTTTGTATATGTTAACCTTCATCAATGATTATTCAAGAAAGGTGTGAGTATATTTCTTATAATAAAAATCTGATATTTTCATCGCTTCAAAGAATGAAAGTTTCTTGTTCAAAACTAAATTAACTAATGTGTCAAAGTTCTTTGAATTGACAATGGGATGGAATATATTTAAATCATTTTATTGATTTTTGTAAATCTGAAGGAATGTTATGTAATCTTACCATCCGTCACACACCAGAATAAAATGGTGTAGTGGAACACATGAATTGGACTATTTTTGAGAAAGTGCAATGTTTTCTCTCCAATACTACTCTACTAAAATCCTTTTGGTTAGAAGCTACCCCTATTGTAGCTTATCTTATTAAGAAATCCCTTCCGATTGCCATTGAAAAGAAAACTCCACAAGAGATATGGTCTAGCTCTCTTGCTAATTATTATTTTCTCAAAGTCCTTGGATGCTTAACCTATGTTTGTGTCAACAATGGAAAGTTTGAACCACGATTAGTTAAATATATATTTCTTAGATTCAAGCCAAGAGTCAATGGATATAAATTATATCATCCTAAGAATCAAAAAAGTTATCTACAGTAGAGACATTATCTATGATGAATCTGTCCTATTGAGGACATCTAAGTCAAACCAAGTTTTCAACTCTTAAAAACTTGCCTGAACAAGACCAAGGTGTCAATCTTCAATATGAATATATCGATTTATCTCAACATTCTCCAATTGAGATTGAGGTACCGTCCCCTATTAACTCATCATCATTACCAATTGTTGACACACAAATAAAGCGTCCTAGGTATTCAACCTCTAGATCAATACGCTCACATAAATTGTGTTGCATATGCCTTAGCCATTGCAGAAAATATTAGGAATTTGAATGAACTAGATTCTTTAACTAAGGCAATCTAGTCTAATGACTTAGTAAAATAGATTGCTACAATATAGGAGGAAATGGAGGCACTTTAGAAGAACTCTACTTGGGATCTGTTGGAATTTTTGAAAAATAAAGAACCCATTCAGAATAAATGGGTATTCAAATTCAAAGAAGGCAGTCTAAGTGTTGAAGAACCTCAGTATAAGACACAATTGGTTGCTAAGGGATTTAGTCAAATCTTTGGTGTCGACTATAATGACATTTTCTCTCTTATGGCCTAATATGTCTTTATATATGAAATTTTGAGCCTCACAATATATCATGACTATGGATTGGAACAAATGGACGTTAGAACAACATTTTTACAAGGTGAATGTGAAGAAGAAATCTATCTAGTACAGTTAGAAGAATTCATTGACAATGAGTGTAACAACCTCATTTGTAAATTGAATACATCACTCTACAAATTGAAACAATCACCCCCTTAGTAGTACAAAACATTCTTTCATTCTCACTCTATATTGGTTTCAAATGCTGTCAATATGATAGTTGTGTCTATTTCAAATCTCTAGAAAGAACATTTATGCATCTCTTACTATATGTCGATGACATTTTAATAGTAGCAAAGAATAATAAAGATATTGAAGTGATAAAATCATAACTCACTTGAGAGTTCTGGATGAAAGATCTTGGCCTGATGACTAAACTTTTGGGGATGGAAATAAAGAGAGATCGAGCAGCCAATTGCTGTATTGGGGATAGCAACCTTCTCTATGTCAAAAGGGATATATTGATAAAGTATTATGTTGATTTAACATGGAGAAGGTGAAATCTATCAAAACTTCAATTGCTGCACACTTTAAACTCTCATTTACATTATCTCGAAAATCTGAAAATAAATTTAGCAAATGTCAAAGGTTTCGTACTCTTCAGCAATTGGCTCTCTAATGTATGCAATGACATGCACATGCCCAAACATGTCACAGGCAGTTAGCTTGGTGAGTCGCTATATGATCAATCTAGGAAAGGAGTATTGGAAGGCAGTTTAGTGGATCTTCAGGTACCTGGAAGGAACTTTCAAAATTTGTCTATGTTTTGGAAGATCATCTAGAGAAATTTCAGGGTATGTAGATTCAGACTATGCTGGAGACCTTGATAGGAGACGATCTCTCACCAGCTATGTATACATTCATGGAGGAAGTGCAATATCTTGGAAAGCATCACTTCAACCTACAATTGTGTTATCAACTATTGAAGTAAAATATATGGCAATCAATGAAGCCATCAATGAAGACGTTTGGTTGAAGGGTTTATTCAACAAGTTATGTTGTGAGAAAAAGGAGTTAAGCCTATTATGGGATAGCCAAAGTGGTATCCATTTGTCCAATGATCAAATGCTTCACAAACCCACAAAACATATTGATGTATGTTACCACTTTTTGTGAGATATATTCTTGAATAAGGATATATGTATTAAGAAGATCAATACTCTTGAAAACCCACTAACATGATGACAAAGACATTACCACAAGACAAATTGAAATTCTATTAGCAATTGATCAGGCTTACTCATTTTTTCATTGATCTTTCCTTCTTATACTTTGAGAGATTCCTATTTTGATTCCTTTGTTATTGAGGCCTTGTTATCTCTCTTGGAACATTTTCTTTTGGTGATTTACTCTTAGACTTTGCCTTGTTTTATTGTCATATAAACTCTATTTCATATTGAGATTGTCTTTTTATCTTGGAGTCTATCTTCTTCTTGTGATCACTTTCGTTGACCTTTAGCACATCCATTTTGTTCTTGTAACACTTTTCATCCTTCAACACAAATTTGATGTGGAGGTTGGACTCAGACACAGACTTCTATGCTAGGAAGATTGAACTAAGATATAAATGGGAAAAGAAAGAAAATAGTAACATAAGACGTTATAGTCAATAGTAAACTCTATGAGGGTCAATGCAAATCTTTGCATTTATCTCTCTAGTTCAAGTTAAGACTTTTATATGTGAAGATATATACAACTATCTATTTGTATATTCTATATTATTGTTGTGCTCACAAGCATAGATCCAAGTAGAAGTAAAACGTATTGTCTATCATGAACAAGTGTGTTACAAGTGCGATCTTGGATGATCAACAAGGAGAAGGAAATTATTGTGAAACATGTGCTTGTCTTTGAGAGAACTTGTGCTCCATATCTAGTAAATAGTTGAAGCATTTCCCCGAGAGAACTAGTTTATGGTTATGTGTGCATTCATGTGTGTGAGAAAGGGAGAGAGAGAGAGAGAGAGAAAGAGAGAGATGATGCATGTTGTGTTAGGCTAGATTAAGATCAACTCTGAAATTATATGACCAGAGAGTAAGACAAAAAGGCTTTGTAAGCACATCAGATTTATGGAACAGGACTCAAGTCGATCAAATAAGAGAGTAATGTGTACATGCAGCCCACTTAAGTGGAGTTTCACCATACTGATCTCAACTGTCAATGTTGTTTGTGAAGGTTTCACAAGGTGAAGGGTGTATTTTAGTGTAGTTCTTTGCTTAATGGTGCTGGGTTATCACATCACCCACTATTTAGGTGAGTTAGAGTTGGAAAAAGATAGAGATTCAATTTTACGATCTATTTATGAATCAATTATTAGCCATTGGAGTGTATCCATTTTAGAAATATGTGGACACCCCCTGATCTGTCTTTGTAATTATATTAATACCTACCACTTATAATTCGTTACCACTTATTGAGCTCAGAGACATTGTTATATGTAGAGAAAGTTGTGAACATAAATATATCATGCCAATTAAGCCCATGAGAGGCATTATGCATGAGAACAATAAATGGGCATAGACAAGGCAATCATAAACTAGGTATATTTCTCAATTCTTACTAATATAAAAGAATAACTCAAGTTGAACTCTTAGACCTCACTTGTCTCTTAATTGATTACCACATTGACTTGATGGTCTAAAAGCTCACCTCAAAGGTTCAACGGAGGATAGCCTAGATATGTTTTTAATATTCATTGTATTTGTCATAGTTTGCATATTCATGCAATCTATCTTGATCCATCTATAATCTTCCCAATGTTCTTGACATTTGCTCTCACCTATAATACCAAAAATCAGACAACAATGATGAGATGCAAAAGATATCAATTGGATATGTACAAATAGTTCAGAAAATTTACTGTGAAAATCAACGTGTCATGAAGGGAATCATTATGTATTTACATTAAATACTCCAAGAAAAGTTCAGTTAAGAACAAGTGGATGGTAGTATTTCTTCAAAAGGCTAAATTTCCATTAAATATTATGAATTTTCATTCAGTTAAATTTAAACTAGAGAATGTGCTAAAAAAGATAATACTGATTTTTAAAAGTCTTCCACATGACTGCCAATTGGCATGTCCATTGTGTTGTAAATTTCCACAAAGTCATATTCATTTATTCATTACTAGAAAAAAATCAATCTACCGTTTCAAAAAATACTCCCAATATCTCTGTAAAGTGACTTTTTGGTCCTAGTTTAAGAAGAATGCGATTGTTGCCCATAGCTTTGGATTAAATTGCTGGAATGACTTCACATCAGTAGAAAGTACATTACTGGGTGCAATATGAAGTAAACTGGGAATCCCATAAGATCCGATCTGATCCTCTGAATATTCCACCCCCCAAACCAGCAGCTTCAGTTTTCCGCGCCTGAATAAAAGGACGACTGATCATTCTCCCCGAAGGCGCATATATTCTAAGTTGACGGCGGCGCAGGAACCTGCGAAATTAACGGCGGCTGTCGCCAACGCTTCCATTTGCGAACGATGCTCCGCAACTGCCATGTGCAACGACCTTTTACCCCCCATTCCCGACTCCCTGGCAAGCCAATAGGGGGGGAAGCCAGCGAGCTCACGGTGGATACCGGCGGACGACCCTCAACCACCACATAAAAATCACCTTTTACTCAGCGCCGCTTTTATATCCCGCCTCCGCCATCAGTCTTTTGAAAGGCAAAAATGTAAATTTTTTTCCGGCAGCCTGTCGATCATATGAAGGTGGAGAGCCTTTTGCGCGAATCGGCCTCCCAACCACAGATGTTCCGCGCATAAAAAGTTAGCATTTTTATTGAGCATCGACCCAAGTCCACACTTGAGCAGGCTAGAACACTCTAAATAAACATCTTGTCACTAGATTATTGAAGCTATATATTTTTATTTAAGTATTTCTCTGTTAGGATATTAATCGTACATATTATACATATTTATTCATTTTTTATTTGATGACGATGATGATGGTGACCATACACTGAAGTCATAAACATTTTTGATACCAATTAAGAATTTCCACCAGTGTTCACAATAGTGGTTACAATTTTCATTATCAATGATCACTACAACATCCTTCCATCTTCCATTTCCTTCATCTCTTGGGTCATTATTATATTAAATGAATGAAAGATATGTTTTTACCAAGTTTCATTTCAGACAATAACCAGGGAGACATACCAATGGTCAAAGTTAAAGCACTAATCTTAGATATTAAGGTACATGGTCGATATAGTTGAAATTCCTCGTCTTGTAAGTCTGAAAACTTTGACTACTTGATGCAAAATATCATAATTTCTAAGAAATTATTTAAACAATGTGACTAACAGCCTGTACATTCACAATTTAGTCTCATGGTTAAGCAATATGGATTGATTTTCCTGATACTATTTCATTTTAATGTCTCAGTTTGTTTTGCAGGAGCTCAACTAGTGAACTCTCTCACACAGCTCTAAATGATTCAAGTGGACTGATAAATTGAACCCGAATCCGTCCGACTGCTATCATCGCAGTTGCTGTCGCCACCTACCCATCAGCTACGAACCGATACACCACTTACACCTTCTCCGCGTGGCAACCCTCCTTGACTGCGTCTTCATTCACCATCATGACGTCATTACGGTCGATCAGAATCATCCCACTCCAACGTTCTCATCCACATCGTCTTCACCCACAAATATCACGCGTTCCTTCAAAACTTACAGCCCCAAGAATCACATCACTTCAGACAAGATATAGTTCAAGAAGCATACCTTGCTGACGTATGCCTTCATTATAAACGTAAAGTACTCGATTCTTTATCGGTGATAGATTGCTGGTACACCGCATCCACCTCCCGAGGCCTGGAATGTTGACTCTCTCTTGTCCGTCAACGACCGACAACCCAGGGAGAGCTTCCGTGAAACCGCTTCGTTGAGAGAGACGAGCTTTTCAAGCCGGGCAGCAGACGAAGGTTTGACCAACTAACGGCCGCGATCTCTCGAGACGTCACCCCGTAGACTAGTCTGAGATGTTCGGGCAACTATATATTGAAGGGACCTTCCTGCCTCCTTCCCTTTAACTCCGTTCTTCCATCCGCCCCTTAATTGGCCCAAGCAGCGGTGGTAGACTTCGATACAGGTTGCAGACAACACAGGAGATTGGAGGAACTTTATGGGAGAGGAAGAGGCAGAGAGGTAGACAGACAGACCCTTTACTCTTCCCGCTGTATATTACTTCACCTCATCCATGGCCATCAGCCACAGCAGCTCAAGCCATCCCGATTGGGCGGCGCCGCAAATCTACCAGAGAGATCTCGGCAGCGGCATCGTGCCTGGAGGTGCAACTCACCTAACAGAGTCGACGGTGATCACGACGACGACTGCCATGGCTCAGCCGGCTAGCGAGCCCCGCACGGGGAGAGCAGCGCGGAGAAGGTCGAGGGCATCGAGAAAGGCCCCAACAACGATCCTCAACACGGACGCCTCCAATTTCCGCGCCATGGTGCAGCAGTTCACCGGCGTCCCGACGAGACCCCTTGCGCCAGACTATCCTTCCCTCCTGGCGAGGGAGACGACACTCAGCTTCAGTGGGTACCCCGGAGGCCCCGATCAGATCCATCACCAGGTGGGAGCTTACCCTTTCGATGTACAGCAGCAGCAGTACAACCAATTCCAGCAGCAGTATGGCGGCGGGTATCAGCAAGGAATTGGTGGAGCGCCCCAGATGGAAGGGGGTTGGGGGAGTCGGTAGGGTTCTTGCTGGAGGCGTCCTCATCATCTCAGATGATGTCTAGGGCGGCCTCCTCCGCAGGTAGTAGAACCAGCCGGTGGGTTCCTCCGGGTTGCTATTAGGTACTAGGGCAAATAGAGAAGAAGAAGAGATCCATCGCAGGAGATGTAAATGAGCCTTTCCAATCCATTTCCTTCATCGATCCTCTGTCTTGATGAATTTCCAGAAAATTTGAAACTTTTCTTCTTTACTCATCCATTCCTCCCCGGTTAACAAACATATTTCCTTCTGGTTAGCTCCGTGGGTAATCTTATCAGCTATGCGGTGACTCCGGAGGCTGTGGGAGGTTCCTTTCAGAACACGTCTGTCGGCCGGAGTTGCGGGCGGTGGGGAGATTGATCCACGTGAAGGGCACCAACCCACTTCTTCGACTGTTCAATAAAAAAAAATCAGCGCCGACTCATTCATTATCTTCAGCTCGGATCACTTTTCGATATTGTCTAGAGCTTCAACCTCTTTAAGAACCAACCGGGTGGGAAAGAGGGGGAGTTTACAACCGCGAGGTTTACGACGATCCAGCTGAACCCTAATCACCCTCTCAAGGGAGGGAACGCACTGCTAGATGAGAACTATTTCCAATGGTTACGTACAGCTTACGTCGCCATGCGCGTTCCACACGCAACTGGAGTAAAACGCGTCTCCTTGCCTTCATCGACACGCGTGGGCAACAATGCAGAACTACGGTTCTTGAGGGCTGACAGGATGTGTCCCAAGAGTTTTTTCACGCTCTTGTTCGGCTTGCCTCTTGTCCGGATCCGTATGTTCTGACCTCCGTTGACTTCGCCATGCATATTATTATTTGGGTTGCATTAGCACCTAATCGCATCCATAAATAACTTCCGACCCCTGTTCACTTGGTGAGGTTGACCCTATTGACTTTTGATTTAGCCGCTTGATGGGTGGACTCAGATATATATATATATATATATATATTGTACATTCCATTGCGCGACGTCTTGCACAATTATCGTTAGTCAGCGCGTAATCCTGCTTTAGCAAGCTTCGACTTTGAGAATAGATGAGGCTGCGGCTGTTCAGGGCAATTTCATACCAATTTCCAGCTTCAAGGCTGCGGCTATTTAAGCATTGATTGACAGGCCCTTTGAATTCTAAGCGAAAGTTATGATACCGAACATAGAAACGAGCCTAAGATTTTTATAATGGGCGCTCAAATCCAAAGAATGCAGGAATGGAATCCAAGTTTTATGATTCTAAAACCGCAGAGAAGCGACGCAATGAGGAAACCAAAATAGTACAAAATTCAAAGCATATAATCATGAACAAAACTCACATATGAAGCTTGTCGCTAGCCAATAGAAACTCAGATGAGCATTTTCCGAATGTGTATGATTTTTAAGGTAATCAAATAAGAATCGTGAAATTAATGCATGCTTTTGGGAAACTCAGCGGTTATATGTTGGAAAAAAGTTCCTAACTTGGTGATCACCACAGTGCTTCTGTGCATGATGTTTCCATTAATGGGGTTGAATGTACCATTTATGAGAAAACTTCCAAGGAATGAACTACGCTTTTCTACACGCCTAAAGCCCATTTGGCGCTACATTACAGACTGTTGACGGCAATGGTTGCATAAGAACTTAATCAATATTATCATAATCTAAGGTTAATCCGAATATACATAAGTTTGGGCGGGCGACTATGCTATGATTATCTTTCACACGAGCTTCAGAATGAAAGTGGAAATTTCATGAGAAAACAGCCCGGCAGTATGACATATATCATTTAGAACTTTGAGTATATGTTGTCCCGACAAGAACAAGAAACTAAGTGACAAAGCCACTTCCTGGTTATCCAAGGAAAATCAAAAAAATGCCGCAACTCTATGTTATGAGGACTATAATCTAAAAATAAACTGCAAAATATCGAACGAGATATTATATTCCCATCTGTTATGAAGTAATCTTGCTCAGAAAAAAATCTTCAAAACCCTGCTAGCAAAGGGCATGTTTTCTGTAATTGAAAGTGGATTTCCAAATGGACAGAGTTCGTATGATCATTAACCCAAGTAGTAAAGAAAACAGCCAAATAACAAGGAAGAATGTCAAACGAAGGTTGATTCGCCAACCTGATGCAAACGCCCATCTTCTCAGATGTATACCACAGGCAGTTCCAGACTTTCGAAACTTTGTGCCAGGGAGAAAATGTCATTAGAATCCACATCGAAGAGGTTAATAGCTGTCAGTGGGAAACAATGAGCCTCATCGCACAATCTACCGAGACAAGGGTTCAAGAAGGCTCCTCCACTCTGTACTTGTTCTCTACAGCTCAGGCATGCCTTTACCAAATTTAGCATCATATGTCTTCTCCATTACAAGGTCCATGGGAGTGTCTTTGGATCCAACTGCAAACCAAATACCGATGTATGTAAGACTATAAATCCCGTCCACAAGTTCATTTTCCCAGTCAATTATAAAGAAAAATGCCTACAATACAACTACCAAAATCAATTTAAAGCTACAGTTAAGGTACACTAAATAAACATACGAGAAAGAAAACGAACTTATAGATTCCGTGTTACTACTGTTCTTGAAGTTTAAAACTAAATCTATATCTAGTCACCTAGGAGATGCATGCGCTCATCTCGGTCATCTCACAGATCTGTAGCTACTGTACATTATTTAAGCGAATATAACGTCAAAAAATTTGAAGTGCCCTTAGAATGCTTTCAAGAACTGGGAATGAATACAGTGGATGTTGATCCATCTCTTGCTTAGACCCTTATCTCATGAGCAATACTCTTGTGCATCAATGATAAGACAAATGGCATGTCTATTACAGCACAAGAAGATTCTATTTGGATATCTCAAGTGATCAAAGATGTTCAGTGTATATAGTCTGCTGAAGGTAGAAGTCATATCCTTCTCCAACTTATTACAGGAACATAGGTCGCTTGATGACGTCAAGAATAACTTCAGATAAGTGGTTTTACCTGTAAAGGAAGCATTTGAGCCTTCTTCAGCACAAAGTCTCACATCATCTTTGTTTCAATTTTCTTTCTTGAAAGTTAAAGAAAGTCCTCTAGATATGGTTATTCAAACAGCAGACTTTCAAAATATTCATTTAAAATGGATGTTTTTTTCTCAAATCGAGTTGCAGTGTCCATTGCAGCTTCCGAGAGAGTTGAAAGCTACTTATTGGAAGGCAAAGCATATCATTGCTAAGGCTCAAGGATTTAGTGCATGATGAAACACCAGACAGAGATGAATTAATGTAAAGCACCATCGTAGTCAACCCCAGGATCAGCTGTTGATTGAACCAGAGTCTGCCAGAATCAATCTGAACTCTGAACCAATCAAAATCCACAGGACAGTACCCGAGTATGGCTCTATCAGTTATAAAAGAGCTTACAAAATTTAAGTCAACAAAGCCTTATAGATCCGTTTTGTGCTCCTCTTGTTGCCTGAGTGTTGAACTCGAGTATATAATCAACAAGTATGGGAATGCAGGCAATTCCTAGAATCGAATGTACTAAACATTCTGAGGGTTGCCAGTATGGTGGCCCCACCGATGAAATTCTTACCAATCTCATTACTAGGCAAACGTTTCAAGCATGAATCAAACAGGAAGAGGACATGAGTTGAATTCCCAAAAAGAAAAGCTTAATCTTCACTCAAAGAGGTGGATAAAATCTAAAATTGTAGACACCATGCAAGGAGCAGCAAGATCAGACAGAGACGGGCAGCATTGTATCACCCCATCCTAGTTTACATTAACTGAAGGTGAACATAGCAGGAGTACTTCATCTTTTTCCAATTGAGCAACTTGAAAAAGGCTCTGTTTCTATCAGTGAATAATCACAGGTGAAGAGGGTGAGAAAATTTGAAGTGGCGAATCTAGTAGTGAATACTGGCCCCTTTGGGAGAAAATTCATGTCACCCAACTGAAACGTCAAATCACCACCCAGGGGGAATTGAATAAAACCAGTATAACATATTTCTTATTTTATGACTATGGGAATGTTTCTGACTCCTGTCTAGGAAAGCTTATGAGAAATTAAAATCACCATCTGGGAGATGTGGAATCCATTAGTATTTCTGATGATTTGACTACTTTAGAATAAATATATGAAAGATCACCAAAAAAATACCCAAATCAGACAACCTGGGTAACACAAGCCGTCTGTCAATGATGAAGATACTTCATGCTTCAATTGGGATGTGCGATGCAATCACCTGAATATTTATAGACTAACATATTTTCTTCCACAATCTCTGACATTAGGGAAATCGAATCGAGATTCCCACACCAAAGGAAGAAGACAGCCTCACACTCCATCATCCATTTTCATAAAGAGGACACAGAGTGCTAGGATAGGAATGGTATGATGAAACTATAACCAGCATACAAATCCAAATGTTAGAAGAACAATGTGAGCAATTTTCCAGAAGAAAGGGACTAAGACCAATGAGAAAAATTTCCTTACAAGCATAATTCAGAAAATTCCGAAAGGAAAGGGCAGTTAGACAACTGACGTAAGGGTGAATGGGACCATACATCCGCCATTAGAACAGAATCGCAAGAAAGGCATAATCAGCTAGTCTTGTAACAGAAGAGAATGACTACTACTCATGTTTTCTCAAATGTATCCAGAATATGCCCCGAATTATCATGGAATGTCAACATTAGCTTTGGAGAACAATGAATATGAAGAAAGCAAGTGGAATGTTACCCATATTAGGTCTTGGTGTGGCCCTTATCTTCAAAATCTCTGGGCGAGGAATGATAGATCCAGAAGCCCCTACGCCCCTTGCAACTCTCACTTTTGTCCCATCTTCCATGTAAGCATATCCAATCTTACAAGGTTTCCTGGATGGAAAACAAAGAAAGCAACTAATCAAGACCAACACTCCTGCAAGCATAGCGCCAAAGGTATATACAAAGACCGGCATACCCTGTTTGCGGGTCAAGAACCTGAACATTTGAGACATGAAGAGGAGCTTCAACTGTAAAAATTCCACCCTCGTGACCTTGTCCTTGTTTGATGTGCTTCTTAACCTGCAACAGCAATTATCTTTTTTCAGATCATTTTTTACGAATTATATAAGAATTTCCCTAGTCGAAACCCAAAAGGCAGTTTATCAGCATAATAAAAAAAATCATACTGTTTTTGGAGAAACGAAAGAAGACCTTCATGGACCCTTTATGGAGTATGAAGCTTAAACACCAGGTATTTGGGGAAACAAAACAGTTTGCAGAGGTATGTTGCTGAAAACCAGTAACTTATTCACTTTAAGGTATGTAGATGTTGACGAAGATGAGACTTCCACAGCATAGTTTATATAAGATACAGCTCTTTGCTGATAGATGTTGCAGAAAAGAATAAGTATGTTGTTCACCTTAAGTGAATCAAACATTGAAGAAGATGAAACTTCAACACCAGTAATTCAACAGGCATACAACATGTCGCCAATGGAAGTAGACGCCAATTGAGATTCTAATTCATAAGAAGACGTGCCCATAGCGATATGAAGGTACCCAGAGACAGAGAGAAAATGATCGAAAAGTGATGGCATCGTTCAAAATCACCGCAAAAGTCCAGGACCATTTCCCTCATGATTTCTTCAATTGACGGCCAAGGGGAGGAGAGACGATAGACAAACCAGATTCTTCCCCTCGACGATCACTCTATTCTGGGAACGGACAACACGCTTGACGAAACCAGTCTCACCCTTATCCTTTCCCCTTATTATCATCACCTGAACAATAAATAGAACAAGTGAACCATAATCTAGAAATGCAAGTCATTCTTCTCCAGTGAAGGCTCGTCCACAGACAGCGGCAGAGAGGGAAAAAAATAAAAATTGAAAGAGCTATTACGTTATCCCCTCTCAAAATCTTCCATTTCTGAATCAGCTTCTGAGCCGCTTTCCAGCCCATCGTTCGCTCAACTTCCGCAAGACGCAAACGAAATGCTCCCCCGCTGAAACCCCCCAAAACCCTCTCTAATCGGACATACAAGAGAGCAGCGCCTCGAAAGAGTGGAACCACGTTGGCCGGCAGACGGAGGAGCGGAGGCGAGGTTACCGGGGAGGAAGGCAGAGACGATCTAGGAAGAGATCTGACACCAGAGACGGAGGAGCGGCGCAGGTTTCCGGCAGGGTTTTAGATCTCTCGTCTGCCTATGGTTGTGCCTCGCTAATAGTAGACTGACGGGTCCGCATCCGTAGCCTTAAGGAAACAACAACACTCACCCAATAAATCTGTTGCAATATAGGGGAACTAGTACAACCTGTTCGATTGCAGTAATAATATCAAATAAATACATAAATGGTTTTAGCAAAGAATGTCTACAAGACGAGGATTCACGACTGATTGACCAATTTTTTATGGTTATTGGGGTTACCAGGGCAAACAAGAACAGTCCTGATGATTGTTGCTGCAGGTTAAGAAGCACATCAAACAAGGACTAGGAGACGATGGTGGAATTTTTTCAGCTGAACATCCACAAACAGGGTGTTCCAGTTTTTGTATATACTTGGGCGCATCCAAACATGAATAGTCTTGGGTGCCTGTGTCGTCCAAGTAGCTGTACGACCTCCGGGCCTTACCAAGCTTCATTGCAGCAACTTGTTTGACACATGAAGAGGACGTCCTCTTCAAGGATCAAGATGAGTAGATTATCAGATTAGAAGACCACCTTTTAGAGCGTCATCTTTCAAGGAATAAATAATAAGGCCTTTTAGTGAGCCATTTCTAGTATCTAATAACACTTATATGGTTTACTCTTGCATTAATGATCTATAATACTAGCTAGGGTCCCATGTTGAAGTAGGAAGTGGATCAAATGTCTGGATAAGAACAATTAGGGATATTAAAGTATTACACTACACCTCTACATATTTATCAATCACCACTGTCTTTAGATAGGTTAACTGGTTAGTTGATGGGTTTTTACGTTTTAATCTATTATTATAGGACACTTTTACACCTTATGATGCATCACATTGATGAAAAATATATTTCATCATTTGAAATCCAAACTTCACAATCAATTAAGTAATCTTGTATCAGAATTTGGCTGTATAAGTTTCCTATAATATTTATAATGGGACACTTTTACACCTTAGTATTCTTCACAATAAAAGTTTGGACGTTTACAATCTTAGGAATCCATAATAAGAATGTATACAATTTTGATATTGATTTTTGTATCTTTGTTACATGATACTCATGAAATGCTTCTAAATGATAAATCCTAATAAGTAGAACATATTCATGGATCAACAAATGATAAATCTTAACTGATATGAGCTAATAGAACAGTATATATGTTCTTCTTTTTTTTTTTCTTTTTTTTTCTTTTTTTTTATATATGTTCTTAATTAACCATATGTATATATCTACAATGAAAGAAAAATCCATCAATTACATGTAAGCAAGTATGACAAAATTGATAATTAATAGCAATGTCTTTATTGTTAAAGCACTCTGAATAATATTTTAATGATGAAAAATATACAAAAGACTAATTAATCGATCAAATTAGATAATTACTCATAATGTACGAAATATTATTAAGTATTTTTTACTCTAGGAAGAGCTTAATTGAATATAAATTTAGAAGAACTCAAATAATAATGTCAAATATCTATAAAAGAATTAAATGAATATATTTGAGTCTCATAATATTTAATTATAAAAGTTGGTGGATTTCACTGCCCAAAATTATCACTTTGATTATTGCTATGAAAATTGTAAATATTTACTTAGTAATATTATCAAAAAATAATAACTAGCACATTCGAATTAATAAGAATCCTTTGAAGTAAAATATGGTTATGGAAGCTTACTCAATGAACTGAATTGATCATGGTATTAAATCATTACTTTTGATTGTTTTTTATATTTAATTAATTAATTTAATTCAATGGAAATAGCTATGTTAATTAGGGGTTAAATAAAAAAAATTCAGAGTGAGAATAGAACCTTCTGAAAAGTGTCAAAAATATTGTTTAGTTGCTATTGAAAAATTTTAAAATTAATTATTATGTTTTGGGTGCTAAAAACTAAGAAACTTAAAAGTTGATTGCCCTAAACTTAAATTTTAAAAGAGGAAATGAAGTTAATGATGGCAACGAGAAGTGGTGAAGATGATTCTTCATCAAAATATTAAGAAGAGAGTGGACGAAATACGTGTTGCTGAAAATCTATTTTGAAGTATATAATCTATTAATGAACAAAATGTCTTTAGAAAAATTGCATGATTTTATTACTAGGAATGATAACTCTTTAAATCTTGTTAATTCAAAATTTTAAAAACCTAAGAAACAAAAAAATATATTGAAAATATTAAACCATTTTTAAATAATTAGGAATCAATAAAAAATCTATACATATTTAGAAAACTAAAAGTATAGTTTGTCCAGAAAAAATATTAAAGTCAAATCACAATTAGATAGACATAGAAGAAATATTTATATGATTGAACTGGCTAGTGTCTGATAACCTAAGAAAACTATATGCTAATCTATTATCAAATCAGGGAGAATAATATATTTGACAAATATTTCACAAGTTATCATTTTAATTATTTTATTTATTATTTAAATAAACCCTTCTAAATCTTAATTTAAATTGATCTTTTACGAATAAGAAGAAAATTGATGGAATTTATTTCATATCTTGAGACTTTACTCTCATTTATTTTATTTTTAAATAAAATCTTATTGTGCTAAATTTTTTATGATTAATTGAAATATATTTTATGCAATTTTTCCAAAAACTTTAGGTATTAAAATAAATATAACCAGATGATATCATTATTATATATGATAACATTTGTAGAATACTTTCTGATATGGGATTAACTTTATCCTATTATTCTTTTCAGATCTGATGGTAGTGCAATAGTAGTGGTCAGATTCGACACAAAGTATGAAGCCACGTCAACACAAAAGTAGCTCCAAGATCCAATGGTGACCATAATCTAGAAGACACCACATTGCAGATATCAATGCACGAAAAGTAGCTACCAATCCAATGCACATGGATCCTGATAAAGCATAGACAAAAGGAGTGAGAGCCAATAGATATCTAATGTTGATTATTGGGCCATGTCACCCCTCTTCAGAGCAAAATGACAATGCAAGGATCTAATGATCTTCATTGAACCACGCATTGAAGGATATATTTATAAATATCAATTATCATTTAGTAAAATAGACAACATTGATTATTCTCTCACATGTGTAGAATATTCAAATATTGATTATCATCTAGTAAAATAGATAATATCAATTATTGTTGTGTTAAAAAAGGAGAAAACGTCAAAAAAATCAGAAAAAAATCAACAAAATATAATAGAAATAGGAACTCAAAATAGAGAATGCAATTTTCAGATCTGGGAGACAAAAAGGAAGAAGAAGGGAGAGAAAGGGGGCCTTTCTAGAGTTGTTCTTGGGTTGTTCTTGAGAGAAAATGTTGTTCTTCTTTTTGATGCAAAAAAAGGAATCTAATGAGTGCATCCTTGATTTTGATTGTTCTCCTCTACCTTTTTCACCTTAAATCCATTCCTTTGAATTGGATGTAAGATTGAGAAGTGCTACCTAGAGGTCAACATCAAGCCATGCATTCTAAGGGTTGTAAGTTTGATTTTTAATAGAGTTTTCATTATTTTCTTATTTGATCTGTGAAATAATTTTATTTTTGTCAGGTTTAATCATTTCTTTACTTGTTTCTCTTCTATTTTTATCAATCCAAAGCATAATTAGTTTACTAATTTTAATTTATTTAATTTTTAAATTCGTATTTATATTTATTTTTCATTTTATTTTATTTATTACTTTGAATATCAATTTAAATCTTCTAATCAATTTCGTAATTCTTTAATTAGACAATAGAAAGATTTTAAAAACCTTTCTTGAGGAGATGACCTAGCTCACCACTATATCCATTTAAAATTATTATTATTATTGGTGAATCTATTTCTATAAACTATTAATGTTGATTGATGATTCTAATAACGACTTAGAATCACGTTAGTGTCATGAAATTTTTAAAGAAGGGAAAGAAAGAAATAGAAGAGTATTTTATGAAATTTATTGATAGTCAACAAAAATTTTACAAGTTGATTGAAATTCAACATTGTCACACAAATAGAGAAGAGATATGATATGCTAGACAGTTAAGAAAGAAGGAGAAAAATTAGAAAACTAGAAAATACAGAATGAATCAAAACCGAATATAAATTTCTCTAATTTTGTAAATTAATCTAGAATCATTGTTAGTCATTAAAAGAAAAATTATAGATGCATCTAAATTTATTGTAGGATGACATAAACAATTTTCAATCACATTTGATAATTCAATGAAACACAAAACAACAGAGAAAATACTAAGATGCTAAGAAAATAAAAAAATAGGCATGTAGGGATTCCAAAGAGTGTATTAGAAGTTATTAGATTTATTTACTTCTTGGGTCTAAAGCACATGATTGTAATTACTAACATAGAATTATTGAGACCAACCAAGTTGCCTAGTCTTGGCGAGAAGATATATCATTTAGCAATAGTTGATAATTATTTAAAATTGACATTGGTATCTTTCTACGAAAATGAGGATGAAACCCTTGAAGTATTTCTGAAATTTAGTAGGAAAATTGAGAATGATAAATAACTAAGAATTATGAGAATTAGACGTGATCATGGTGGAGAATTTTAAACTTTAAAATATTTAGAATTCCAAGATGATCAACAAATTACTCATGAGTTTTCTAGAGCTAGAATACCTCCAGAAAAAAGAGTTTTTGAAAGTGAAATATAACACTATTTGATATTTCTATGACTATTTTCGCAGAAAATCACATGCCTAATATTTTTGAGTTGAGGTAATAACCATTGCATGCTACACCATTAGTGAGATCATGATCATATCAAAAG